GCAGGGCTGGGGCAGGGCTTGAGAACTCTTCATTTTCAGAAGATCTCTGGATAAATACCCTGTATTTTAAATAGGTGTATCCTATCCTAAATTGCACTGCAGATAGGGCCTCTGATGCAGCAAGAAGTGAATGAAGGGGAAAGCAAAGCTTTTTGGTTACTTCTCTGCCCAAGCATTTTGTGTGCTGCTTGATTCTTTGGAATAGGTGTGGATGGGAAGTACCAAATCATCCTCCTCTTCTCTGGCATCATGGCAGCACTTGACTGTTCACAAGTAACATTTTTCTTGGAGGATTAGTCGTGGTTGGTCAATGGGGGAAAGGCATTAGACAGCATTAGATCTCTATCTTCTAGTTTGGTTTCTGGGTCCTGAATTCCCTTGTGCTACCAAAAACTGTAGCTGAGTTACTTAAACAATCCAGAGTAGTCCAGGCTGGAAGCAGAGCTGCCTTCCACACCAAGCAGAGGGGCTCCTTGCTTGCTGATTGGTCTCCGGATCTTGCAGGTTCTCCGGTTGTTTTCTTTCAGTTGTGTTTATGTCCGTAACATCAGAAACCCAATTCTAAAGTAAGCTCTGATGGCCCAGCACAAGACTGTCTTGAATTCAGGTGGGCTTACTGGTATCTGGGGTTCAAGTGCCTGGAGTTGGGAAGTTCAAAGGCTAACCAAGGAGTTGGTTGAATCCATGAATTACTGTGCTTTTCCTGGCACGTTTTACTCTAAAAATAGCTGTAGATTTTTATTTTCTCATGCATTTTGCAACTGAAGGTTTTCTGCCCTAAAAAAATGGTGTTAAGCTTTGTTACTAAAATACTCAGAAAATAACCAAGGGGATTTTTTGTGGTTTTTGTTTTTTCTTGTTGAAATGGGCAATTTTTATATAGAAGCTTTTGATGATTTGAGAGAAGCTTGGAATTGGCTGTTGAGGGAAGACCTGATATAACCCTGGGACCTGAGCCTGACACTCAATGTGACTTAACATCCTGATGTTGCAAAAAAGAAATGTGTTAAAAGCATTCAGGTTCAATACAAGTACACATGTGTTATTCCTGCTTCCTCAGATGGGACAGAGTGCCCTTAAGAGTAAACAGGGAAAGATAAGAGGATGCTACTCTTGTACAGACTGCAGCTTTCCTGCCAGTGCTGCTTGCCTGTGCCAGCATGTTTGGGAGCAGTCAGAGCATCCGCTCAGAGAGGTGGTTCACCATATCCTCCCTGAAATCAGGAGTCAGACACATAATAAAATAACCCTGGGAGATTTATTACTGCTCTGAAGTGTCCCATGTGGGACACTCCTGTAGCAAGCAGGTGTGGAGCTCTCCCTGAGGATTTTGTGCTTCTTTGGCTTCTTTTTCTTCCTAGACTACAATCTGTCCCCCCTAGAGCATTCTCTTCCAGACTGAGAACTGCAGATAGAAGGTCTTTGTGTAAATTGTGAAGTAGAAAAAATGTCATTTTTGCTGATCTCATTTTGAGCAAGTAGTTTCTTTAAACAGCATTAAGTGGGGTCTGCCATTTGCTGGCAGTGCTTTTTTTGAAGTTGTTTCTCTTGGATCAGTTAAGGTGAATATGTGCACTAATGTATGTCTATGCAATTACAAATTAAGTTTGTTCTGTGTGTTGCCACTCATTCACTATTATCACTGTGCTCTGTCTAGAAGTTATCTAAAGTTCAAGTCTTATCCTGCATTAGAGGTTTGTATGGATTTGGAAGTGGAAATATGTGTGATACGTAGTTCACGTGGCAGTTTTTCCTCTTACAAAATGTAATTTATACTTGAAGGTATAAAGATTAATTGTAGTTATTAATATATTTCTGAATTATGAAGCTCTTTGTAAGCAGATATCAAGAGAGAAAATGCAGGACATCTAACACTGAGCTATAATGATACCCTATAAATTGTGCAAGGTTGTTCCAGTAAGACCCTACAGTATCTGCATATTAAAAATGCCATTGAGACTGTTTCTTTTAATAAATCTAAGTAATTAAGCTAGAAAAATATGCTGCTGGAAAGCTATGTATTCTTCCCTGCAATTCATTTCACATTTCACTGCTTTCCGAAAAACTATTGCAATCAGCATTTAAACGTGTTATTTGTTATCTTCATTTTAAATGTTTTGGTTTTTTTATAGACCAAAATAGTGGATGAAGAGAAAAATGGGAACAAGCAAGAATTTAACTTTGAAAAAGTAAGTCAGCAGGACCTATTTGATCTCACTATTTCAGTGTGTGTATTTTTATCCTAGGTAAAGCTACCATGGGGACCCATGAGAAACACTTCCAGAAAAGGTTCTCTCTTGTAGCTGGGAATTTATTAATAGGTAACTTTGGCTGCATGCTGTGCCAAAGGAGGAGCTACTGGCTGTTATCAGCTGCTCTGTGTTACAACTCTGTGTCCTGCCTTTCTCATCTTTCAGTGAGAGTCTGAGGAATGTTACTATGTTAGTTGTGTAAGGCTCTACGAGTAGCCCTCATGTGTAGTGTAGCTCTTTCAGGGCCATGCTGGTAATTTGGCATTTCTGATCTCACGTAGGAGGGAAGAAAAAGCATATTGGCATCTGTTTTGGAAACAGCACATGACTTTTTTCCATTTGTCTTTTTGTTCTCATCTGTTCTTTTATGAGCATAAGTAGCATTGGCCTTCTTAGATATTGATTGGTTTCCAGATCTGTGCAGGCTGTTTTATGTGCCCGATCTCTGCTCAGGAACATGGTGTGATCCAGTGAAGTCTCTCACTGGAGATTCTTCATGGAGCTCCATACTGATGAGAACAGTGAGGATTTAACCACTGTCTTTAAAAACATTACAAATTCATCACTGGTTTTTCCAGGATATTCATATGTAGTGTCAACCATATATATGTGTGTATTCAAACCACCATCTGTCCATCCATGTTTCTCACTGTTGAAGTGCTCTGCAGCCAAAAAATTAAGACACTCTGTAAACACTCGGTGCCATTGGTAGCACATTTTGTTTTGTGCAGCATGGCAGGATTGATTTTTATACAGACAACATACGTTCCATTTATTGTTTCCTGTGAAATGAGGAGAATCAAACCCCCTGATTTTGACTATTAGCCAGGGTTTCTTTGCCAGTATGACTTCACTGTAGCCTGTCAAGTGTTACTTTTAAAAAGGCTGGACAAATGACAAAATGTTGGCAATTTTCTGTAATGTTCTAGGCTCGTCTGGAAGTGCACAAGTTTGGCATCACCGGCTACAAGAAGCAGGAACAACGTCTGTGGGAGCAGGAGCGTGCGATCATGCTGGGAGCTAAGGTAGTTGTCACTTGGTTTGTGCTGGGTGGTCACCCAGCTGTTACAGTGAAGGCAAGTGGTAAAAAAACACTGTGGAGGTTTGGCACTACTTCGTTAAAACAAAAGATCACCTGCCCTGACCCCTCTCCCACTTCATCCTTACTTTTACATCTTTTATTCTGTCTTGTCTGTTTTCTGTAGACATTTGGGAAATTAGTATGTGTGTATTATCAGGGATGTTGTATAAACGAATATGACTGATCGGGGTGGAAAACAGCATTTGTGTGGTTTTTAATCAGGCCATTCAAAACTAAATGGTTAAAGGGAGGGACTTGCTTTTTAAAGTTTCACTCTCCCAGTGAGTTAAAGATACAGAAAACTTTAGTTTTATTTATCATCAGTAGTGTAAAAGAAAAAAAAAGTTGTAGATAATTTTGGGGGAGTGGGGAGGAGTATGGGTTTTCTTTCTAGTTTAGTTTGTATGCAGAAACCTCTTAGGATTCATACGGAGCATAAACATCCCTCTCTGCTGTCTCCACCAAGAAAGACAGGGTCTCTATGTGTCTACCTTTCATCCCTTAAGTCCCTTTCTTTCATCCAAAAGGAAATAAACTGTCTATGCAAGTGTGTGATCATTTTTTTTAAATTTATTTGAAAATTTTATCAGTGGTACTCCTCCCAATCTTTTTTGCAGCCCCCCAAAAAGGAACATGTAAACTACAGGACTTACCAAGAGAAAATGAAAGAGAAAAAAATGGCGAAGGATGATGATAAGGGAAAGGTTTGTGTGAAACTTTCTTTCCATAAAGACAGCATATAAGAGCTAGCCCAAGAGCCTGACAGGCAATGCCTCAGGTGCAGGAGGAGTGTCCTGGCTTGACACCTGCTGCTCCCCATGGAGTGGGTTCCTGGCTCCAGCAAGACTCCTGTTATTTGTTGTGTGCTGGTATGCACAAGTGAAGTGAAGTTAGGCTTCTGTTGTGGTGGGTTTCACTGCCTCATCCATTGAGGCTGATACACCAATGACATAAAATCAGCAGTTTTGGTTGGGTTTTTTTTTCCCTTGCCTCTTAAAGGAAAAAAATGGCCTTCAATTACAGTTTGTTGTATGCTGTCTAACCACAGAGAGCCAGATCTTCATGTGGTTTTATATCAGCACAATACCATCTAGGATCTTGCTGTTTATTTAAAGCAAGGGTGAGGTTTCTGTTGCATCCATCCTCTGGCACAGCCCATCTGGCTCCAGGCCTACTCCCTGCCTTGGCATGGACTCCTCATGTAGGTGGGAGCAGGCTGCAGGGTGGGTAATTGCTCTATCCACCTGTTTCCTGCCACCCTCTTTCCCAGAGGACCTACTTCACCTCCTCTGTCATGTGGCTTAAAGTTCATCCCGTGCATGACCAGACATGTTTGAACCCTATTATTTGACAGGTACACTCACTCAGTCAAGTGGGCACACCTGCCTAGTAGCAAGTCCCTATTTAACCCAAGGATCCATCACATGCCAAAGAAGCAAGCTTCTTTCCTCATACAGTTGGGTTTGGCAGGGGCAGCATGTGGGTCATGAGAGGGCTGTACTTTCCATGAGGTGACAGGAAGGGCTCTGGGTACTCCTAGGAGTGGCGCCATAGTGTGTTGCATCACTTGGCCTCTCAGAAGGTCTCCCAACCTGCTTTAAATACCTGGTCCTCTGTGGAGCAAAGGCTACCCCGTGTTTTGTGTGCAGATGGTTGTTTAGCCAAGATGCTCTCTTCCTTTTCCATTAAAATATGTATCTTTAAAAACAGGAACATAAAGGTGGTTCTCTTAAGAAGAAGAAGAAAGAACAGAAGGAGAGGTGAGCTGGTTTTAATGTGGTTAAAATTAATTTGCTTTTGTATAGTGTCGCCAGTGTATTTCCCCTATGCAACTTTTACCAGAAGTCATGCAGATCACAGTGGAAGGAACTTCTCCAACTACAGAACAACTCAGTCACAAAATGGTGATGCTGCTCTGTGTCAGCAGTTTCAGAGACCTTAGTTACACAGCTTAACTGAAAATATGTCAGTTCTGCCCTGACTTGTCTAAGACTGAAGCTAAAGATGGATGGAAAAACCTGTGTGTGGGTACAGGATTATACCACTTACTCAAAGCATTTGTCCTCAGAAATAATTTCTGCAAAACATAAGTTGCAGTATGCAGAGGCTTGAAAGGTGAAGTTGTGTTCTTAATCCCAGTGTAGCAGGTTCACTGAAAGGTACTCTATCTTACTTCTCTATCCAGAAGTCTTTGTGTTTCTAAACTTTTTAAAATGTAAGTAATTCTGTAACATGCTGCAAATTTTGAATGGCTATGCAGGTAATAAATGTTCTGGTGTCATTACCTGCTATGATTTGATACTCTATAATAGCAAACACTGAGGGCTTATAAATAGGTGACATTTTTCACCCTATTAAGCATTTTCCTGAGTTTCTGTTTTTCACTTAACCTTTTTTTTTTTTCCCCTCTTCCTATTTCAGGAAGGCCAAAAGGAAGAAATCAGTGCCTAGCATTTGGCCTGCAGGACAAGTTGGAAAATTCAGAGATGGAACTTTGATTCTGCAAAGCTATGACATAAAGAAAATTAAATCATCTAAAGTTATCAAATGAACTTCTGATACAGTCAAATGGACAATACACTTAACATGGAATTCATGGTGCTACCAACACAAACTTATGGAACTTCTCACCTTCCCACCATTATCTATTTTTTTTACCTTATTTCTTGTTGCAGGATTTTCTGTATTGCATTCTGCCTTGGGAAGAGTATGAGAATTTACCATTTTAAAAATAAATATAAGACTTTTTATTAAGAATGTTACGTGGTCTATTTTTACTAGTCAACACATTCTGAAGAAAGCCTTTCAGTTTCTAGAATCAGTTTATTTGTTATAAGTAAAATACTAATTTAATCCATTAATTAATGGATTCGAAATATATAGCTCTTTGTTTTCATCTGAAAGGGTAAAAAGCGGAAGGGTGTGTTTCTTAAGCCATGTGGGAAGAGGAAGGGTATGCAGTGTTGAGTTGCTAAATATTGTTAATCACATTTCATAATTATGTAATTTGATTTCTTATTCAGTATTGATTGCAGATTTAAACCAGAATTGACAATCTTATCTGGTTACAGACTTAGAGAAATGTACTATCACCATTGCACAAGAAGGTGTAATCACTAAGCAGAGCTGAGTACAGAGCATCAAGACTCGTTGAGGCAACAGATGGGCTTTGAATGTTGTGGGATACCCTGTATTTGGAAGTCCTGGTTAATCCCTGAGCTTGTTTTTTCAGTGCGTAATTCTAGATCAAGTTTTGTTCTGTTTTATTTCAGTTTTCCCATATGCTAAAACCATTGTGATTATCTTCCCTTCCAGTCAAACCCTTTGCCAATGAAGGAGCTGACACCCAAAAAAAAAAAAAAAGGCCATGATGGATGGTATCTCCATGCTCTTGTCTGCACTTACTCTTGATTTGGCTGGGTTTGTGTTTCTTACCCTGGTGCTGCTGTCAGTGCGTCAAAGTGCCTTATTGTGCTCTACTAACAGACATTTAGGAAGGCTTTATTGCTTTGATGGGTGCCTTTTTGCAGGGGCTGGGCATGCTGCCCCTGTAGCATTGCCCAGACCCTCACAAGGCATCTGCTTGATAGAGGTGTGCTGCTCCAAGATCACACATCATTTTAAACCACCTCACAAAGTTCTGTCTTTCCTGCCGTGACAAGCTTTCTGCCCGGTCTTGACATCTACGCTCACCAAAAGGCATTTCCAATTGGATCCTACTTGTGTCACAGTTCTTTCCAGGCTCTGCTTACTCCAGTGTCAGAAACTTCTGGAGACTGGGAAATCACCCAAATTGTGTAAGAGGGGTTGAAGTGAAGTAACACATCACCAGGTACTTCATAACCAACATGAGCCAAAGCTAACAGAGGGGTGTTGAGAAAGGGAGGTGTTTTGTGCCACTGAATCCAGGCTGTGTCTGAAGTTGAGGCACAGATGGTTGCTCCAATGGAGGACTCTTGGCTTTCTCCAGCTACCAGATTAATCCTGACATAACAAAGCAGGTGTCAGCAGTTAGAGTTGGGTGTGCATCCTGTGTGAGTGTCTCATCTACGTTACGACATAACATACATGCTTTTTAAAATAATAAATAGGGTACTGATGCTGAGTTGTTGGCAATGTTTTAAGAGTTTATTTAGAAACTGTAAAACAGCATAAATTCATATGTTAGGTTTTCCAAAAGGATAATAATAATAAACAAAGTTTTAGTCGGACCAAAGGGCAAAAAGCAGTTTGTTTCCAATTCAAAAAATACAAACATTTGCTAAAGGTACAAAATTATAAAAAGTTTGTATTTTCCTCTTGATCTGGTGACAGACACATACAGCAGAGATGTATATTTCACCAGCTCCAAATTCATATAAGCTATGGGAAATGACGATAAAGGAAAAAAAAATCATGGTAAAGAAGAAAACACTGGAACAGCTTCTTGTCTTTCATTTAACCAGAAGTGACAGTTATCTTATTCCTTTGCACTTTTTTGGTTGCCAACATTTAAATTAGTGTTATTCATGCTTCAAATAACAATCAGAAATAACAGGTTTACCTCATGCATTAATTTTTCATGTTCATCACATCATGTCTTCTCACCATGCTTCCTAGAAAGGTTAGTGGTTTTATTGACAACATTTAAGGGAGGTGGAGGATGAAGGAATACAATTGGGATCCAGGAAATATTTTTATCTACTGCTTCACAAAACAATGTTAGGAATCCTCCAATTAGCATAAAAATAATTATGTAATTAATTCTGCTTGGATCTGTTTGCAATAACAAATGTAACAAAAAGGTCACTTAACAGAAGGAGGAAATGCCGCTGAGTGCCTCTGTCAATAAAGCACACATCTATCTCCTGTATTGTGCAAAGATGCAGAAGCCCCACACATCTAGTCTCTGTGGCTTGCACAGGGGCTTCTGCATGTAAAAAGACCAAGTGTGTCTTAGTCATAATGGACTTGTGCTTCAGGCTGATGCTCCAGCCAGCTGTGTGTGTGCAGCATTCAGTAGTGCTGGGCAGAGGAATTGCCAGAAATGTTGTCAGTAAAAACTAGAAGCAGCTCACTTCTAAAAGAAAAATAAAATAAATAAAAATATACTCTCCACCTCTGTTTGGTAATTTTTGGTGACAAGTGCCCTTTACATTTGCAATGGGGTTGATTTGTCACCATAACCTGTTGAAGGACTTCAAACGCTTATCTCTCTTCCCAAGTGGATCTAGCCAAGATGCTTGGGGTTCTCATCTTACCTTGCCTGGTTCCACATTGAATTCTTGACTTTGCTACTTAAGCAGAATGCTACAAAGCTGGTAAGGCCTGAGATTAGGTCTAACAACTCTCTTTCCTCATCTTTCCATTTGTGAGCAATGATGTACAAGGTGGCAGCAGAAAGCTGCTGTTACCAGGTTGTTGGTGCTCTGCATCCCTTCTCACAGGAACAGCTAATCTGAATTGTGGCCTAAGAATTCACCACCTCTTGTTGGCAGTTGTAAACACGATGCTTTTTATACAGTGGTAATGGCAGCTTAGCCTCGACTCATCTCTCTCTTGCCTTTTTTAAAGAAATATTATGTAAGACAGAAAGAAAAAAAAAGCTGCATCTTGCATTTCTTCTTGCTCTAGAACAACTCGGAAGCCAGAGTGTTGGGTGCTCTCTGCCATTGTTACTAACTACATTTTGAAAAAAAAACAAAACACGCCACAAAAAATAAAAGCTTACACAGTACCACAATAGATTTCTATCACCAGCCAAGAACAAACTACAGCAATACACTATCATGGCATTATTTACAACAGAATGGAACATTATGCATACAATTAATTACATTTAATACTTTTCCTCTTAATCTCTGCTATATGTAAGCTCATGCTTTTAAAATATTTTCTTTTTTTGTTCAGCCCAATGTATTTTCCTCTATGTATCTTAACTGAATAGGCAAGTACAAGAGGTGGCAGTGCAGTTTGCCTATCTTTTCTAAGTTTTAGAAGCCAAATTGCTTTCCAAATTCAGGATACATGACAGTATGGTACTGTCCTCGCTGACATTTTATAGTATGTACCATTCCACAGCAGAAGTAGTAAGGGATTGCCAAGTAGGCCTGTGCTCATATTGACATCAAGTCTTACTAAGAGAACTTCCTGTGAGCTGTTTTTGAGTTGATAAGGGAAAAGATAGAGGTGGAAATTGTGTAGCATTGCACACCTTAGGAGGTCTGGCAGTGCTCCTGATGACATGCTGCTTCTGTTTGGTCCTGCTAAATGAAATTTGCAGAGGAAAGAGCCAGCAAGAAGGCTCACAAAGGCTAAGGCTGGGTTTCACAGGGGTAGATGAAAACTAAGCGTCCCTTGCTGCTCTGCAGGATGGAAAGTTTGCCTGCTGTGTTTATTTAGCAGCTGTGCAGAGGTTCCAAACTGGTGTATACAGAAGTCAAGCTTTGTTATTCTTATCAGAGGAGGGCTTATTGGTTTGCGGTTTGTTTTGTAGGTTTTTTTTAAACATTAAGTCAATTCACATCTACCTTGTGTGGGCTCTGTACCATAGTGGATGGGATTAAGCCCAGTGCAAAAGGCTCTGCTCTGTTGCCCACAAAGAAGCAGCCCAGCTCCTCCTAGAGAGGACCAGAATAGTCCCATGAAAGGCAGCTCTGTGCAGGTTCAGGTGCCAGAGGAACTTGGAGACCCAAAGAGCTGCACAAATACCCCAAAGAATCAAAACAAAGCAGTAGCATCTGAAGTGGGCCCTTTGGATATTTATGCTACTCTTTAGCCCCTTGCATTCTCCCTAGACAGTCAGAAGCAGAGTTTCTGCAAGGACCACAGTACTCAAGGCTGACTCCTTCCTAAAGAAGGGATTTAGAAGAAACAAACTGGCCTAAGAGATGCTGTAGATGAAGAACATGCGAATTGATGGGTTTGTAACAAGATGGACCTCGGGGGAGTTACCTGCAGAGAAGCAAACTATCTCCAGTCTGAGCAGAGAGGTAGAAGTGCCTCACTTCTTCCCACCTGATGCTGTTCTACAAAGGGAAAATTCTGCTCTGCCTATGTTCAGATGGCCATTGCCATCTGGATGCTCTGCATAAATATTAATGTGCCAAGTAATAAGTTTCCTAGTGTAAATCTAACTACTTAAGCATTATTTCTGTTAATCAAACTACCAAAATAAAACTCCCTGAAGTCATGAGAATACACCAATACTGTTGGGATAAGTGATTTATTGCTATGGTCCATGCCAAACCCAAGTCCTTGAATGTGTACACAACCAACACACATAACCACTTGGTTCAGTTTTTGACCTAGGCTAAATTAGTCTTACTAATGCAGGTTACCTACTTCTAACTGTATTCCTTTTATTCTATTTGCATTTCTGCTAGGTTAAAGGCAGCTTCTAAAGGTAGCTAGTCTGTACTCTAATGAATGTTAGAATGTGTAGAGGATAACAAATGAGCTTCTCTACAGCTCTGAAGCACGTCCCAACCTACTGTTTGTGTTTCCATTAGAAATTAGTAGCCTGTATCACTCACCATGTTCTCCCCAAGTTATAGCACACCAGGAACCAATACCGAAGCAACTATTAAAACCAAAAAAAAGTCCTGCAAACACTTCTAAACCCCATTCATAATTAATTTTAAACATCTGACAATGGTTGGAGATTGGAAAGATGCAAATTAATTTGAGTTTCCTACACAGAAGTTGGGAGAAAAAACAAAGGTTCAGTCCCAAAACAAACAATGTCTTTCTGTTTTTAATGCAATAAGTGAAAGTGGAGTGCCTCCTGTATTAAAATTATCATGGGATGCTTCCCAATATAAAAAACTATGTGCAACTTATGTACAGTATTCCCATACACTTCTCTGACCTGCAACACTCCAAGCCAATGCTATCATTACAACTGTTAAGTTCATAGAAGAGCACACTCAAGCAGAAATTCAGGGTCTGGTAGCATTCCAGCTGAGGTAGGTTGAAATAGACCCGCTAATTAGAAAATCCTGCACAGGTTCATATGGTATTAAACAAAACCAAAATTGTAACACAGTTGGTCTCCACTACTCTTTAAGAAACCAAGTTGAGCATAGCTCATGTCTACAACTTTACTAACACAATTCATTCCAGACTTTGAAGGAAGTACCTTTGCTTTCCCATTTAAAAGCTTATGCTATTTATTTCCACCATTGATTTTACTTCCTAATGCAGTCCTGACATCACTGAAGGCAAGCTGCTGTTCTGCAGGAGAGGTGGGCTACAGGATGCTTGGTTGGTCACAGGCAGCATGATGGCAGACTACTTTTTGTCCATGCAGTAGCCCAGAACTGTGTTCTTCTGGGCTGCCTCTCCTTCCTCACAGTGGCTGGGGGTGGGATGACCCCAGGGAGGATCCTGGCGGCTCTTGCCACTGCTCAGCAGTACCTGAGTGACGTGCTCTGGCCACAGACCAGAAGCAGACCTGAAGCAGATGCTTAGGAACTGGCAGGTGTTCAAAAACAGGCCTGGGCTGTTTGTCCTGTGGCTGTGGTTTAATGCAAGGCAGTAAGCTGGATTTTGTTTAGCATATTTGTTCTCAGGTTTAACAATTACATGTCTGATAACAATATGTGTGTGTGTATATGTATGCTTGGAGAGTCACATTTGTATAAGCAGCAGGATTTTTAAAAAAGCACATACTACATTGATGGTATTTAAGAGTTTATGCTTTTCCTGTCTGATAGCACCACACTTATGTAGGGTCAGAGTGAGAGAGGCCGAGATATCACGGGCTCGCACAGCCTGCTGTATGTATCTCATCCTTAGCATTGCTGCTATATGCACACACACTTGCATACATGAACTGGGTTCAGAGGAAAGAAGCACACACACAAATCTACGTGTTCTCCAACAACAGCACACAGGTGACAGTGCCACAGCTGCAGGAAAGTTCCCTGTCAGTCGGACTCCAGTTGCCATGAGCATTTTCATGGGAGATGCCAGACACAGGTTAAGTCTTGTAAAAGATTTATGCCCCAATCCAGAAAAATTTTTAGGGACAGATTTCATGCTAATGCTATGAATCTATCTCCCTCAAGTGCTTCATTAGGATCAAGACATTAATTAGCTCACACTAATCTAGTAGAAAATTAAGGCTTTTGATCTCAAAGCTACATTGGAACTACAGTTGCCGACAGATTATCACAATCAAGGCTGGAAAGCAGCATTTCTCTACATGGGACATTTTGCATGTGGCACATTTTAAAAAGATTTCTTATCAATTCAATTCAAAGGGATCTCCTCTGCATAATTTTTCAAGAGTTGTACTAATAACCACAACCTTGGTGAAGGCAACAAGGTAAGTCTTGAGTCCTGTTTTGAGCCAGGATGAAGCTATTTTTCCTTTTACAGACTTTTTTTTTTCTTTCAGTAAGCTTGCTTTTAACTAGTAGCAGAGTGTTCCAGCTTGGGCTGATAACAGCAGAATGTTTTTCTAAGTGCTGGGTTTTCAAGGTCACACCCTCACTTTGCCGGCTCAGACGCTACGGGGAGATCTGTGACCCCCCTGTAGGAGGCTGAGTTAGACAGACAGCAAAACTGGCCAGAGATATTCCATTCCATGTATCTATGTAAGCTCAGAGGAAGGTCAGAGATCACAGAAGACAACTGCCTTCCTTCCTTCTTCTTCGTCCCTTCTCTTCCCTCCATGGCCGGCGTCCAGGGAGGACTCCGTCCATCCATCACCACCCAGGCTTGAGCTCTCCTGACCCTCATCACTCTGTGCTTTCTCCAGCAGCAGCCTGGAATTTTTTGGGACTATTTGCAGCTAAGGAGATGCTGTGGGAGTTGCTGGGGGTGGGGGGAGGTGAGAGGCTTTTGCACATATCTGAACACATTTGTATATAATTGTATATATTTTCTTTTATGATTAGTGTTTAATTAAAGCTGTGTGGTTTAGTTTTCTATCCCGAGCGTCTCCCTCCTAATTCTCTCTCTCCTTCCCTACCTGGGTGGGAGGGAGAGGGGATCGAGAGCATTGTTGTCAAACTGAATCAAACAGTGACATTCTGCCACTGAATTCTAGGGAAAAGTTATTCCACATCTTACTGCAGTCCAGAGCCAGAAGGAATAATTAATGGTCACTTGAGACCCTGAATGTAATGGACAAACAGGAATTCTTGAGCACACAGTCTCCACTTCAGCTGTCAAAACATATGCTTTCTGGATTTAAGAACTTCAGGTGACATGGGAATCTGTTTCACCTACTGGCAAATGGTTTCAGCAGCTGTTGTCCCTCAGTCTTAGTCTTACTAATTTTTTCCATCATCCCTAATATCCTTTAAGCACAAATCAAGCTATGAGAGAGAAAATGCACTAATTTAACATTTAGCTTTATAAATGTATGTGTGTGTGTGCGCACGTGTGTACGTATGTATGCAATGCAGTGTGCATGTATGTTCAGGTCCCAATCTGCGATCAAGTGCCAGTTCAGTGGGTATGCTTGCTATGGCTGTTCAATTGAAAACAGAGTGGCTAGTTGTAACCAGCAGAATATTCTGTGAGCAGCATGCTGTACAATGTTTTAAGTCAGGGAAAATAATGCTTTTTTTACTGACTTACTGAAAAGTGCCAAATCACACTGAGAAAGCTTACAGAATCCAGCATGGGGTCGGGCAGGGGCTTCGTTAATTGTTGGGCAACTTGGGCTGTTTTACACATTGTGGCACCTCCAGTCCTGTGTGCAGGGTCACCTGCACAAAGAAGAAATAACATGTAGGTTCAAAACTGGGACATCCTTAGCCAAAAGCATTCGTGAAGGCCAAGAGGAAGTAAATGGCAGGTGAAGGGCTGTGGGACTTCAAGCCCAGGTTTAAGTCAAGCATATTAATGGAGATGATTGCTATCTAGCCCCTGAAATAAACAAACCTCCTTCCCCCTTCCCTCCTGAACACCCTGAGGTCTGGAATCCAGGCCTCCATATCACTTCCCAAATGCAGACACCAGTTGCTTGTCTCCAGCAGTGCTACTTGCTGGACACAAGGTGGATGGTGTCTTTGTTTGAGGGACCCCGAGTCAGGACAGGTATCACACAGTGGAGCCCATGTACTAAATCTTAGAAAATCCTTTTATCTTTGCTGTTCTGGCAGGGCAGAGTTCCTTCTGTGACCTAACATCTCTACAAGGTCAGGGTTCCCACATAGATGTACGAGAGCAGCATTCAATAGCAGTTTCCCCCCGCCCATTGTCAGCACACTTTGCCTTAATTAATAAGAAATGTAAGCCAGGTACTTAAAGGAAGTAGGTAGCTAAAACTGAATGTAGGTTGTGACTAAAAATGTGTTGAACATAGCAGAGTTGCCCAGAGAAGTCCCTGTGTTTTCCATGTTGTTGCAGCAAATACAAACAAGTTATGAAACCTTATTGAAAGATTAGATTAGATTCCACCAGTAACAAATGCTAAAAGTTGATGTTAAATAAGGCCATGTGGGGTTTCTGGTTTTGGTTTGGGTGTTCTAGGTTATGAGTGTTCCACCCCAGCTGCATTGGTCCTCCCTGACCTATGCCAACTCCCTTCAGTCCTGAGGCTCCCAAGTGTTTCCCTAGGTTCTCCCTTACACTACATCCAGTTTCTAGCCATATGATGTGGTCTTGAAGTACAAATGCATTTGAAGAGGGTTCCTCCAAAAGGCAATCACAGAGCAAGAGAGCAATCTCCAGTTTTCTGAAAGAGCATGAATTACGTGCTGACTGGGTCTTCTCTGCAGCACTAATTACCTGACCTACGTCGTCTTTGCCCTCCTTACCACTGTGGTGCTCACATTTCTCTCTTGCCAATGTTAATAATGTCCAAAAAATAAGAGAAGATCTAAGAGGAATTAGGATACTCCTGTTTTTCAGACAAACTGGCAGAGGAAGCCTTACCACCACTGTTTTCCAGGTGGACCATTGCAATAAAATAAGCACAGGAATTAGCGTGCACAGGTACATCTAATTGTTTTTACAGCATTACTCCTCACATCTGTGAGGCAAGGCAGGTCAAATGTATTTTTACAAAAAAACCTGCCTAAGTATCAGTGTGAGAAGGAAAGAGTCCCTTTCTGTACTGACTACATAGAGATGATGATGTTAGTCCCAGGAGCAATGGCTCGATCCTCCTTTAGACGAGCAGGGTGAGGGGGACTGAGCTGCAGAAGACTTACCTGGACATTTCGATTGAGACTCAATGCAGGCATGAAAACACCCTCCACGTTTTCAAATGCTGGAGGTCCTTGCTGCTGCCCATTGATGTAAAAGGTCAGGTTGTGCTTGTTCAGATCCAGGAGAACACCAACGGTGGCACCTTTAGAAACTCCTCCTTCAGTCCTAAGGTAGGAAGGGACCACATTTGCTGATTAAGGCAGAGTGCTGCATCACCAGTGCTCTCTCTAGGTCAAGACAGTCTCACTAAGCAAAGGGAGAGTGGAGCAGCACGATGAAACGATTATCCCCATAGCATCTGGCAAAGGTTCATCCACACGAAAGGCTGATCCACATGCATATGTACCGCATTCATGGGAGCTTTATGGGGGGATTCTAAAGAGAAATTAGGCCCATGTCTCCTTCAGCTGCAATCTAAGAGCTGAAAATGGGGTGCAGAACTAAGAGGTCCCCTCAGCTGGTGAGAGAAGGGGAGGTGAGCAGGTTAGGTCAGTACTGAGCCTGTAGGACAGGAATCCTGGAGACATGACTCCTCAGAGCAACCCTGCTGTAGTGAAGTGATGCACAGCAGGGAATGAAAGAGCAGAAAGCTGGTTTCCTAGGCATTAATTTTTAATCATTATGCCTACTAACAGCTCCAGACTCAGACTTCCAGCTATAAACTCACCTTGGCATCCCCTAAGGCGACCCAGCTTTCCAGAGACCCAGGAGCCAGCATAGGTACAAGAGATAACAGGTTTGGGGAGGAAGGGAAGTAGGGGCTGGTTAGGGATAACTGACTGACAAGGTGCTCAGCTATAGGACCGGGAGCTGTTTCAAGTGTGCAGGCATGGTTATTAACACCAGTGATAATTGGTTGTGTCAGGAGCAGCTGCTGAGAGCTGCCCTGGTATCAGAGCTTGCCAGGATTGACTCAATGAGCCATTACACACTTGAGTGATTTGATATTAATGCACTTTGATTTGGGGGTTAGTCAAACCTAGTATTACTTTAAAGAGCACTGAGCACAAAAAAATATCCACTAGATATGCAGCTTGGCCACAAGCACTGCTACTCTGCTAACATCATGGGGGCTCTGCGATGGATTTACAGCCTGACACTGTTCGTTCAGGGTAAATCAAATTTGACAAAATTTGCAGTAGGAAAGGAAGCAGCTTTTGTCCCATGCACTCCCCTCAGGCACACAGCATTCATAAGATTAATTAAATTTTAACATATAAATTTATCACAATAAATAGGCAAAACGTAAAAAAAAAAACGGGGGGAAGGGGAGTGAGTGGCATCAAAATATGATCAGGAAGAGTATAGTGCAGGGTAAGACATTTCCATCTTGTCCACTAGGTGTCATAAACTGGTTTCGTTTAGACTAAATGTGCCACATGGCATTTCCTCTGAAGGTAAAGGAAGTTTTATCTGTGGCATAACAGTGTAGAGTGCATTCTGACTTCTCCATTCGAAGCTCTTTAAACAATAATATAGCTGAGAATCACTAATTGGTTCTGAGATATGTTAGATTTCAAACTTCACCATTCTCTGGTTCCTTTTATTTGCTTTCTGGTCCTACAAGCATTGATAGGTTTCTCTTTGAGCTATTCTCCAGAAACAAAAAGCAAGTTATTTTCCAACAAAAAGTTAAGACACTTGCCTATACTCAGTATCTCAGTATCTAGACTGTTTTACTAAAAGCACTCAATCATAATGAGATTATGAGAGGCAACAGCACTATGATCCAGAGATATTTACAAATAGATTGCATTGTTTTTTCCTCTGTTTGGAAGCAGCTTTGATTGTAGGGCACCATGTTTTATATCCTGAGGTGTTTTAAAATAGATTTTATGACATCCTTTTAAATTACATTGATTCTCATGGGGAAATAGAAACAGGAACTTTGCCCTTTTGAGATGGTGCTCTTTGCTATATGATAAACTAACTTGCTTCTTGTGGGCTAATTAGCTGTGTGCTGCAGAGTGACATTGAGTGGCTCCTCTGCAGCCCCTGGGGACAGTCCAGCTGAAGAGGAAGGAGAGAGATGTTGCCTGCAGAGCCCTGACAAAGCAAGTGTGGGACCCAGCTGAGGGCCCTCCAGGAGACACAGGGGCAGAGCAGAGAGATGGGGACCCTCTCCTTTCCTCCTGTCACTTCTGTAGCAGGATGTAAAAAAGCTGCTGCTTTACTGTAATGTATTTTTTAAACTACTTAATGACAGTTATACCGTAGGCCTCTAGTAATGTGCAGGCCATAAGAAAGGAAAATTCAACTGTTTGTTAAAATACTTCTCCAACAAATACTTAGCATTCATTAAATGATGATCCAGTTCTGAAGATATGCAGCACTCTCTCAGTATTTCAAGTAAATCCCACTTCTCACACCTGTTTTCTCACATCCTGAACATTTTAATTTCTGTGTGCTAAGTCCTGAGAATGGCAGTGCTGTGCAGAGCCTGGGAAGGTTGGAGTACAAATACAGGGAATTTGGCTACCATGAAAAAAGCCATTGCCTCTGGCAGTGGAGGCTGTTATTCTAAGATGCTTTCAGCAGCAGCTTGGACTGCAAAATAGGACTGCATGGATTTGCTTGAGGAATTAAGAACAGAAAGAGGTTTCAGTATAATTGAAAAATAAAGCTTAACGATTTATAAACACTTGAATAAACTGAAGAATAAGCTTAACTCTTCATTAACAGTATTTTAGTCATGAGCTTTATAGTAACATAACAACTTTACCATGTCTATTGTCATGTCTATTGCCTTTCAGTCAATTATAAGATTTTTGTGTAATAAAAACCTTGTCTTGAGATCTCTGAAGTCAGTTAAGAGACTCATTGCAGGGGGATTTAAGGCTACACTTCAAATTTTCTCGATTTTTACTTCCCACCATCTTTCAGTATAAAACATTTTTGTGAGATTTCCATCTCTTTCTTTATATAATTGTTTAGTGGCTAGAGTATGGCCTATGGCACCAGGTACTCCTGCTCTTGGGAACATTGCCAAGGAATGGATCCACTGCAATGAACACCAGTGCCTCTTGGCAATGGGCGTACAACATCTCTGGTGTGAACTGGTTATTTTAAGGAACAACAAGGTCTTTCAAGCTCCACCTCATCTTATCCTTGAAGTTAGTAATTTATGTATTGACCTAATTTATTCTCATGAAGACCAGGAAGCATGAAATTATTACTAAAATGTAACCTCCATCACAATAACTTGTGAGAGGCTAAAAGCTGACAATAAATTTCCTTTGGACTGGGGCACTTTGCTGTCATGCACCTGTCTCTGGCGGAGAAAAACAACTAGGCAGCAATAAATGTTTCCAAAAGACTGTTACAGCTAATGAGTTAAAAAATTGACCTACTTGACTGTCACGGTTAAAAACGTAATGCCTAGACCTAATTTCATTGAAGCGCGTATGATTTCATAAGGCTACGTGCCCTTGGTGAGTGTGCTTCACTTGAACAGACATTCCGTGGGTCCATTCCTGCCTTGGATGTACCTGCAAAGCCTTTGTGTTTTACCTAGTAAAAACTGGGAAAATATCCTCAACAGAAAGCACTTTGGTTTCCTGTTTAAGCAGGATTATTTGAAATCCGAAGTGTTTCCATGGACCATTTGATCCATGCTGAGGAATAGAGCCATAAAATAGGTTTCTGGGACAATAGCACACAGAATGGTTGCCAGCATTTTTCCAGAAACCATAAACTGTTTCACAGTATGGTTTAATTAATTCTTTATTAATTAAAATTAATACAGCTTAACGCTACTTCTGCCCTAAATCAAATCAAGATGTCCAAGGTACAGAGAACCTTGTTTATTAGTCTGATGTTATTTTACACCGTATTGTCTTAGAACATTATGTAAGGTCTTTGGAACCCTGGAAAATATTCCAGTTGAATTCAGATAGCTTTTGATCCCCATAAGTAGGTTCTTCCACCTGTCTGTAGTGATCTGCAAAATCAAACTATGCTTAAAACAAAAACTCACAGCAACTGCAGTATATTCACTTTAAGTACACTTTAGCATATAAATGACTATTCAACAGGAGACATTACAGCTAGCTTTAGGAAACAGTGAATGCTGCCTTGAACTTACATCTTGGAAGAGATAATACCTGCCTTTGAGCATTTTAAAAATCGCTGCAAGCCTTTCTTTTAATTATTTGGTATAACAGAAACAACACCTGAGCTAATGACAGGGGAAGACTTGCTGAGACAGTAAGTAGAAAACTAAATCTAAATTGATTCCACCTCTACGACAGACCTGCTATGTATCCTTGGTCAGTCACTTCATTCATACATCAGTCTCCCATTGAGATAGAGTAGGTACAAATACAACATTTTCCAAAATAAGCAAGGGACTTAGGATCCTGAATCACACTCTTCAGTGGAAATCTTCTCAAGGGTCTCACTGCCCTTAACACGCAGCTGACCTGCTAGTGCTGACCCTCTCATGGGACACGGAGAGAGAGCAGTACAGTTCTGTTCTGCTGATATTCCAGGGAGCTTCAAGTGAAGCTGGTCATATCTCCCCTACACAGTCCAGCATCACTGAAGATGAGCACGGAAAGCCACGTAACCGTGTCAGCACAACGCTGGACCCATGCTGTTACATGTTGTCTCAGTATGATCCATCCCTGGAGGTATCTTCATAGAATCATAGAATCTTCAGTTAGGAGATGTCACCCCACTGCTCTGTTGCCTCTCAGTGGTGGGAGAAAGAGGGGTTAGGTAATGTTGGTGCAGAGGCATTCTGAAATCTTCCTTTGTGTAAGTTGATTGTACTAACTGAGACACTTTTCAGAGCTCTTTAGTACAATGGCTCAGGTGGACAGAAGTTGTCACTTAGCCCTCACTGCCAGACAGACCCCTGTGTCCAGATCACATGAGGTGTGACCTACAGCATTACCTTTAACTAGCTTTCAGGATTGGCAATACATACTTGCCTTTTGTACAGGCGATCACCAGTGCTAATTGTTGTGCAACCCTGCAGCCAAGATTCCACCCAAGGAAAAAAGAATTAACCACTTTTCTCCTTGTGCTTCTCCAGCAATGAGAGAGAAATCCTGTATCCTAGTGCGCTGCACTCCTGTCTACTGCTGCCACGGGTGGGATGTGCAATAGTGGGCTTAAATCACAGCAGGGGGATTTAGGCCAGATCTCAGGAAAAACCTGCTAACAGTCAGGATAACAAACACCAACACAGATTGCTAAGATGCAGTCACAGTCACTAATGTTTTTAAAGAGGCAATAAAATAACTACATTTAGCAATGAGATAGACTAGATGGCTGGCTTGCTGAGAGCCCTTCTTCTCGTGCAAGGCAGAGAAAAATGATCAGTAGTGAGAAATGCAGAAGGTGCTTACCTATTGGTGTGAGAATTGCAGTGCATGAACCAGCTGCGGTTGTTGTCAACATACATGGCCCATGCCTTGTCGTCCTTGCCGAGCATCATGTCCTTGACAACATTAATCCTGGCAATGCCAAAGGCTGGATCGGGGTGGTTGTCATACCGGTCCACGTGCAGCTCCCAGTAGTGCACACCCTTGGAGAAGGCTGCTGTGCCAAGAACAACCCGGTCATCGTAGCTGTTGCAGGTGGCGGTCTGGTTGTCATTCGACAGCACTATGTCTCTGTGAGCTGAGGAAGGGTCAAAGGTGAACCAGGCCACTGTGGAAGGGGAAAAGGAACAGCAGGATTAAGGCACAACAGGCTGTGTTCAAGTGTCACCTGCTCTACTTCAATTAGCAGATTGAGATTTGTCTTCCTAAAGACCCTGCAGCACTTTCAGGTAATAAAGACAACATTTCCTCATTATCGTAGGCAGCTACACAAGATTGCTTTGCACTGGTGCCCTGCTGTTCTTCATATCAGAGGTGCCTTCTATCATCTGTGCTTGTTCCTCTGAATGAAAGCTGCTAAGGGCAGTGACTTTCTGTCCTCACACAGTAAAAAGGAAGTCACTGAGGAGACAAAGACTGCTCCATGATACAGAAACTGCTAACACAGGTGAACTGGTTCAGGATGGCTTTTAATGGAAATGGAGTTCCACTGTGTCTGTCCTGGTCAGGACTGACTTCCTTATTTTATCCAAGGGGGGGAAAAGTTTAAAAAAATCAAAACAAACCAACAAAAAACCAAAACACCAGAAAAAGCTCTTAAAGTATAAATATTTTATACTGGCCTATTTTGGCAACACAGCATAAAAGTAGAAGTGATAATAGCATTCACTTCCTGATTCATTACAATGTCATTAACGAAGATGAACTTATTCTAATGCCCATATGGATGTCAATTACAATTACAGAGGAATGAGTATGAATTCTCATCACTGCATTATCAAACCTTGCTGTGAAATTGAAGCACCAAGAAGAAAAAGACAAATTCCAAAGAGATATGGAGAAGTGGAGACAGAGTGGCACAAAAACATCCCATGTTGCATAACTGCTTCTGTATGCTAAAGCAAACAAGAATCTTAATTAGACCTCAGACTTCTACAGCCAAGTAAAATTGCATTATTTGAAACCTGAAGCACTACTGACAATAGAAAAACACCAAAAGTGCTAGGAGGAGAGCTCATTCCCTGTGCATGCTCAATGTCTGGTCTCTGCTCAGATGATTCAAAATCTGCATGTCAGTAAGTGCCAAAGATATTAGTTGGTATAAAGGGATGCAAGTGTCCTGCCACTGAGACCTGCAATTTTTCACTTAGAAACTGGCAAAAACTCAACTCACCATCTGATGTCTGTAAAATAACTGTCTTGCTGTAAGGGCCAACTCCTGATGAGTTGAAAGCTTTGACTCTTGCATTATAGGTACTGTTGAAATGAAGACCATCAATGGTGCAGAGAGTCTCCTTGCCAACATATACTTCCTAAACATTCAAAGAAAAAAAGGCAGAAAAAGGGACACAGTTTAACTGTTTCTCTTTGCATTGGGACCACTTGTTTAGACTTCTAAATATAAGCCACAAGTGAACAGCTTTTCATTGTTTCCCAGAATGCAGAAATTATGCTGTTATAATATGGAAAGCCACAGCAGTGGAGACATCAAGGATGGTTAGCAGTGGAGACACTAAGGTGAAGATGAAACTGGAAGGGCACAGCAATAAAGGGTAACACAGAAAGATCTTAATTTTTATCCTTTTTTCCTAAACATCCACTCCAAAACACTATTTTGTACCCACTGTGACCATTCTTGTATTTATGTAGGACCAGAAAAGGTGGGCATAGAAGAATAAAAAAAACAATCAAGCAGTTTTATTCTGTTGGAAAGGTTGTACCATGGCAGTGTTAAAAGATAATTTTGAAAACTGCAAAGAAAGAGCCAGAAGTAACTGATCGTCTCCAGTTTAGGATCACATGCATCAGATGATGAAACAGCAACTAGACAGCAGAGACATCTTAGAAGTCTGCAAAGATTTATTAAACAGCAAGCACTTGTCCAATGTGAAGTATTTCAGGAGGAGGAGCATCTGTGGCAGACTATTTAAGATCAGTCAGATTACACAGTCTATGATGAACTGAAAGAAGCCTACACACCTCATGTCTGTTGGAAAACTGAAAAGAAAATGACAGAACAGGAAACAATCCTATCTTGGCAGAGGGTTGAAAGCCACAAGTCCTTTCCACCTCCGATTTCTCTGATTCTGTGGAATCCATAGGTTTATAGTAACAAAGACCCTAACAAGCTTAAGGCCACTCAGGCACCGTTCTGTTAAGACACTTATGTATATGCATAAGTGTAGTCCTGTTGATTAAGGCTCTTTGATAGGAACCTGAAGTGAATTAAGTATGTGATGAATAAGAAAAGTATTACTTAAGTTTACAGCAGCCAAGAGTTTGTCCACTTTGCTACCATGGCAGCTGCAAACAACAAAAAAAAATCTCTTGAGTCCTGAATTAGCTAATGATCTTTCATGGAGAGAAAAGAGTTTTAAAAGAATAGCTTAGTTTATCTCCATGTTATATGCTGTCTGTGCAAAAAGCTGTATTTGTAGGATAACTCCCACATTTTGCTAAACCATTTCATATTTTTACCACTGTTGACTGCTTGTGTTTATTCAGATTGATGTTCTCTGCTACAATGGGAGACAAAACCCATTCTTTAAATTCAACCAGTGAATACTGATAAAGTGCAGTCAGTGTCACTGCTTTCAGATATATAAACCTTCGATAGAAGGGTCAGCAAACTCTTACTGAAATGGCATTGCTGAGAAGCCAGTAGTTTACCTTTCAATGAATAAAACGGAGGCTGAATCTACCACAGAAAGCAAAGTGTTCTGAGAAGTTGTCAATGCTAGATTTTTAGGGACTGAGATGGTTTCGTATCTTTTTCAATCCAAAATCTTGATGTGGCAGTGTTGGCAGTCCTCAAACCTTTGCCAGTTACAAAACTCCCTACACAAATAGGCTTGGAGATGCACCTGCCAGAAACCTTGTATATTCACAAGTATTTGTTTAGGTATGAATACCACTTGAAAAGGTTTATCCAAGACACTGGTATTCCTAGGACCTTGTTCCTAACTTTTCGTTCATCATGCGATGATAACACTCTTACCTACAAATATTACCTAAATCAGCAGCTCCCAGCAGTCGTTCACAAATGTACCTTTTCACACTTTCAGCAGTTGAGACCAGCCTCTTCAAACATATGAAATGATACTTGGACCAAGGAACTGAGGAGACCTCAAGAAGCACAGTGCCCACATGAAAATGCCCTGCCAATATCCTGGTCTCTTCTAATGAGAGGCATCCAAATCAGGTGCCTCTGCTGGCTCTGGCTGCAGCAGTTTGGCAGATGGAAGCAGTTCCTCAGATGGACCCATGCCAGACTATTTGCAGCTTGAGAAGCCTTCAGGTTTTCCTTCCAGTGAGAAGCCAGTCTGCAGATCCTGAAGAAATGCCATCACATGTTTTTGGCAAAATTTCCCATTTGCAAAGACAGCAGCTGTACTCCACAGTGATGTCCAGATGCTTTCCAGGCACTAGTCCCTATGGAATGCCCAGGGCCAGCCTGGTCTCAGAGCAACAGGAGCATGAAGCCTTCCTGCGGAGGAAGGGCCACAGCTTCCAGCAGGGCATGGCTGGCAGAAAGCTGATGGAATATTTCTGTAGTTGGTTTACGAGGTTGTGACAATAAGAGACAGAAGACTATAAATACCCTGCACCTACAGGCAGGAGCAAGCAGTTGTGGCTCACTCTGAGGGTCTGATAGAACAGCACTTGGGATATCTTCCAACACTTACCAATCCCATTGCAGCATGTCTGTGGAAAACTTTCACTAGTCTGGTCTTATCCACCCCCAGAGAAAAGATTTAGAAATCCCATATTTTTATGCAGGATCCCATTTTTACTCAGAAAACCAGAAAAAACTGCATTGCATTGCTGGACCAAGAATCTCAGCTGTTGATGTGGGGTGCCATGGACAGATGGGACCAGGGGCTTCAAAGAAATCTCTGGTTTGTGAAATAAACCACTTCCAGCTCCTGTAGGCTAGTATGGGATTTTCTGCTGTTGTGTGCTCCAGGGGAACAATGCAGTACATGTAGTAGTGATATGAAGTTCCATGTTTCATTTGGGCAAGGCCCTCTTTGCCAGAGCCTGGGAATAACCTCAACCAAACTTCCTTAACCAAGCTGAGGGTCCTGTCAGCATCTGCAACTGGGTCCTTCTACATCCATGTGATGGAAGTAGGGATGTTTAGACAACTCACGTCTTCCCTGCCCCCTCTTCCCACCCTCAGACAGACACAAATCCATACCCTGAGGAAACTCATATACAAAGAAACACAAATAAATGCTGAATGAAATTCTCACTCGGAATTGGCCACCATCTCCATCATCAAGTTCCAAGATATAACCCTCCACTGGGTTGTGGCTCAAAGGTGGCATCCTCCAGGCCAATGTCACACTGTTGTTTCTGGTGCAACACTTCTCCAGCTGCAGTAATGGGACGGGTGGCACTGTAACAGGAACTGGGTACAGATTAGTGTAACTCTGTCCTACCTCATTAGTCTGTGCCTTGAGCAGTGTGACACCTGATCACCTCCCACCCCTCGCAGGGGAGTCAATATTCATGAGGAATTGGGCCCATTCCCTTCCTTGAAACATAAGGTAGGAAAAATTATATTGAAATATATAATTACTCAGTTAGACAAATCATTTGGCTGAAATACATTAACAGAACCATATCTGGACATGCTTCTGGAGCCTCATAAGGACTAGAGTCTAGGGACTTCATGTCTGTTTCCTTCCCAGGAGTCAGTGTCTGGAAGAGTTTTTTCTCACACTACAGCACTTTGGCCCCACTGTCCCCAAGAGGAGAAAGGGAACAGTAGTGACAGCTGGTATCTCAGGCCACGGGGTGACATGGGAGAGACAGTGCTGCCAGGAAGCCAGCTCATTAAAGAAGAGTTGGGCTATTAACCAGCAGACCAGCCATTCCTCCCAGTATGGTGGCAAGACAGAGCCTGAACTCCACCGACAGCAGCAAAATGATTCTTCACAACAGTTTAGGGTTTTTTTCCATCTATTCTGCCACACACATCCCCACCCCCACTCCCAGTTTTTCATCAAAACCGCCTTGGATATGTTATCTTTATGGAAGCCATACTTCAAATAAACTGTTGGAGAAAACTGTTCCATTTGCAAATTTCATCTAAATCCTTTGGTTTGGGTAGCAAAAGGAACTTCTGCACCATAGGAAATTGCTTGTGGCCCTCTCCTCTCAGAAATCATGGGTGTAAAGTTATCTACCAACATGCTTTTTTAGAGATTTGCCCAGGAGAAACACCAAGAGGCTGTTGACCAGACCAGTATCTTAAAAACAGAAATAAACATCCCAGGAAACATTCAAGGTCAGACTGGATAGGGCTCTGAGCAACCTAATCTAGTTGAAGATGTCCCTGCTCACTGAAGGGTGGTGGACTAGATGACCAGTAAAGGCCCCTTCCAACCCAACCCATTCTGTGATTCCACAAAACATTCAGGGAAAGAGGCTTCCACACACCTTCTCTGCTAAATACAACTAATTCCCACCATTCATCCTTTGCTGGAAATTATAAAGTGAAAACTGGGTCTTCTGGAGACACCTGACATGTGTCTTACGCACCATTGAAACAGCACAGGTTAAGTGGGATATGAGTGATGCATAGACCCTGCCTGGTCTTCTGCCCAAGGCTGAATTTCACCATTCAGGATAATTTCTGCAGAACTCAACCATGTCTTGCAAAGAGCTGAGTGCTCTGAGGGCTCATGGACTTAGTTCTTAACAATGTCAGTCTGCTCTTCTTTTATCTACTCTCCTTTGAGCCTCTAGTTTATTTTCCTTTCTCTGTCTGAGAGCTAAGCCCTTGAGCTGTTCCTTTTGTCCTATTTTACCTCTCCAGATAAAAGAGGACTGTTCACATGCTGTGTACCAAGCAGTCTGTGGGAAAATGGATGCTATTGTGCAACGGGGCTAAGGCTTCACTCCCACTTTGGAAGTGACACAAAAGTCAACATCATACTCGTGATAAACAGTGCAGAAACTACCTTGGCTTTCTGATAGCACCACCCATCACCACAGTGAATGCAGATGCTTGGTAGCCCAGCAGAATGACTGTGATCTGAAACAAAAGAGCTTAATAAATTAGCTCTTGAACATTTTTATGTGAAAAGACAAAAAAAAAAACCAACAACCTCTTCATATTCCTTAATTTTTAAGGATGATTCAAAGGGTGTCATAAATAAAAACCTGCTTGTTTTTTCATATGGGAAGTTTAGACTTTTCTCTAGGAGACACTGTGCCTGGAGAAGTAACAGAAATGTGACATTACAAGAGTCAAAAACCTGAAAACAAGAAATTCAGTAGTAATAGGGGTTTTTTTAAGCGAACCATTTTAAGCTAAAGGTTTTGTTTGTGTTTGTTAGCCTGTGTATTTCCAGTGAGATGAGCCTGGGAGAAGACAGGGCCGTCCACACTCCTGCCATTTTAGCTAACTGTTTAACCCTCTCATGAGACACTCCCTGGGTCCTCCCCACTTCTGAGGCTCCCCCTGGCCAAACTGGATAAAAACCTAATTTTTGACATGTAAAGAGTGCAAAACTGACAACACCCTCTCATCTCTGAATAAAGCAGCAACCCCCTGCAAACATGTCCTAGGAACACTGATGGGAGGCTTTGAGGGACTGTCCCCATAATGCAGTAGCTGAAGGAGAGGTAAGAAGCTCCCATCAAGCATCTGGGCAGCTTTACTGTATGATGCTCACTGCACCTGCACTCCTGCCTCCTCCCCTGGACATGGATGGGCAGAGATTTGCCTTGATCTCACATTCCCTCTGGGAGGAGAAAAGGTGAACACTTGTTGCAAAAGTTGTAAGTAAGTGCAAAAGGAGTTAAATAATTGGGACACTGGGATGTACTTCATAGTGAAGAGCAGTAGGACAGAACTAAGAAAAGAAAAATATGGCTAAGTGTCAAGAAAAAAAGAGTCTCAGAGATTAAATTACTGTCCCACTTCTTGTTCAAACTGAAGTCCTCTAGAGAGTTTTTGAAGGAAAAGATTAAAAATAAAAAAGGGAGAAGTGACACTGCACTACTAAGACCTATTATTGAGTCTGAATGATGTCCTGCTATTTCAAAAGTGCTTCATGCAGGTCACACTTAGCTAAAATATATAATACTGATGTCTCATGGCAACTCAGCAGTTTCAAAAGCACATTTTTCAATGTGTCTCACAGCTGATGTCTCAGAGTAGAAGAGAGCTGCTCTAAGATGTCTGTCATCTGTCCTCTTGACAAGCAAGTTGTGCAACAATGCCCTCCACCTTCCTGGATTAATTTTTAAAGGACTAAACACAGTGAAAGAAAGGGACCTTCAGAAACATGACAACCCTGATGTCCTTCAAAACTGCACTGTGGCCCTGTAAAATAAAGAGTCACCGCAGTAGCAACTGCCCTAGAACCAATGTTACGGAGAGAGAAGGAAAGACGACAGGCAAAGACCTGGGTCCATGACACACAGCAGACAGAACCAGGAATAAGGTCTAGGATAAAACAGTTGTTCTTTCATTATCAGAGCTGTGCAGCTCATGGCTGGAGAGAAGATCTAAGGCAGGAAACTGGTTTGCAGAAGAGGAAGGGAGTTGCTCCTGAAAGGAGAAAGGGCATATAAGTGAGTATGCAGAGGTGGTACAGGAAAGTAGAGAGCAGCCATATTTTTTCCTATTTTGTACCCAGTCTGCATTTCACAACAAACCAAGATTTCATTACAGTTCCAGCTGTTTGAACAAAACAAACCTGGAGCACATACTTGCCTGTGCCCATAGCTCGAACTGAGGAAATGTGATGTACACACGGAGCCAGTTATCAAAGAGGACAGGAATTCTGTGCCAGAGCACTCAGAAAAAGCAATAGAGAGACGAAACCATGGACAGGGGAAAGGGATCTGGGAAAGCTCAAAATGCCAGCAATTAATAGAGCTGTGTGTGCCTCAGCAGGTCAGCTAGCCTGGGGAGCATGGGACTCTTGCCAAAGGGCCATCAGTGAGACCCTCTGGCCAAGATAACTGGTTAAGCATTACTTGTACATCTATCACATTTCTGCACATTTAATTTGTCACCAAATTGATTTTTCTCTCTGTAAAAAGCAAAAACACCCTCTGATCTTTATTTATTGAGATGAGCTTTAGATATAGAGAGCCCACCAGTAAGGCACATGTACAAGTCACCAAAGCAAATGTAATATGATTTGTTCCCATTTTCATTCTTCTTTGTCTACCACAGTGAATCAATGTTTGCTTACAAGCTTGCTTTCACTCTAAATGACCCATGCAAGCTCACTGAGGTTGAATGAGGCCAGAGTTAGGAAAAAAAAAATAAAATTCAGTCATGCACTAAGCATTGATGACAATAGTACAGACTTTACATCGCAAAGCTTTTAGAACAACACAACTTGCAATTGGAAAAGCCACGCTGGTCCTGTTCTCCTAGATTTCCCCAAAACTCCCTTTACAGACCATCTCCAATATCTTTCATGCATTTGCTCTTGTCAGATCAAGCAGTACAGTGGCTTAAAAACACTTGCCTCAACAACGTTTGGTAAAGACTGATGACTTGTTGGTGTGCTGGGATAGGTAGGATTGGAGAAAGAGGAGCAGATTGAAGAAACACATTGAAATATACAAGTCCTGACAGTGATAAATAGCAGAACATAGTCCTGCAACACCAGCTTCTCCTCAGCACAGTGGTGTTCCCAGTAAGTCCAGGTGCTTGCTACTGAAATGCTGAGTTGCTTACTCTGTGGTACCTGCATTTCTAGATGCAAGACTGGTATGCATGAGAAGATAATGCAGAGCTGGTTGAGGTCATAGAGGTAAAATTTCAGAAAAAAAAAAAAAAAGTACATGGTTATGCCAGTTGTGCTAACCAAGCTGATGGGATGTGCAATGGATAGTCCCTGGCCAAGGTCAATACAGCTCATGGAAAAGCCCCTCCTCAGGGCTATCTGCAAGGTGCTTCTGGGCAGCAAAGCCCAAGAGTGTTTGTAAGCTTTGTGCAGGTTGGGGCAGAAAAAGTCCTGTCTTCTCCTCTGGTTCTCAGACTGTGACTAGCTCAGAATCAGATCTCCCCTGTCACTGTAGGATAAATGAGAGCACAGCAAACAGCCCGATCTTTCATAAAGCTCCAGCGAATCTGGCTCAATCAAAGTCTCATAAATCTTCAAGCTTAAAGCCAGATGAATGTCCAAAAGCCAAATACCTAAGCTGCTTTCACCTCAAGTGACCTGTGGTTAATAAGCAATCCAAGTGGATAGTGTAACTAAATGCTTTATATGTTTGGGAAAGAAAGTGGTGGAAGATTAGTATTACATATATTTCACAATACATATGGCCCACATTAAATATAAATTGATTTTAAAAGCCAGGGGCAGATGGTATTCAGAGAAGTTTTATTGGTGATACTCTCTTGACTCCACTTTCCTGGCTGTCAGTATTTCACAGGAGCAGTTCACAGGTGGTTTTTGAGTAAATTTAACGCAGCCTATTTATGCCAAGATGCAAACCATTGCTGGTGAGCAGGTTTCAGCCTCTAACTGTTTATTCATTGTTTCTTCACATCTTTATCTGCCAAATTATCCAACCTGATTACTTCATATTTGGTCTCTTGGGTTCAGAATAAGGCCCAGAGGGGACAGAGAAATGGAACTGAAATCTTTAGACTTGCTTTGAGTCAAAAAAGCACATCCGGCATCAAGGGATGATTATCCTTAACTCATTCACTGACTTCTGGCAGCCTCTGCCCTGACACCCATATGTATAATTAAGGCTTGAATCACCATGGAGGCAAGTTAATGGCATCATTCCCAGGGACTACAATGGCCTGCAAATACAGCGGGTCTGTGGATCTACCTAATTCTGATGCAGTTCTCATCCTGCTCCATATAATCCAAGTTCATTATAAGCACATGATGCCAATTCTTTTTTTTCTTTTTTCTTTTTTTTTTTCTTCTCTTTTTTTGCCAATAGCATCCATTGTTCATCAGCTCCTGTTTTTAAACACTTTTTTAACCACTTTTCCCTTTAATGTGTCTCTTGGAATCATTCAGATACTTGGAATCAAGGAAGGATATAGCCATGGATCTACCATCCCCTTGTGAACCTCTGTCTCATGATTTTCAAGCTGGCCACTGTTTGCAGCACAGTCCAGATATAAGTCAAAGGGTTGGGGTTTTTTTTCCTTGTTTAAGTAAATATGAGAAGGGAGGAATATTTATTTACTACTTCAGCTGTTCCTGACAAGACTGGGGTAACTGGTATTTTGAATTAACCATGTCAAATCCAGGAATGTTGTAAAATGGCATAAAGTTTCATGCAGCTAACGTCTTTTTAGCTCTCAAAGCTCACAGACAGCCCTACTCTGAAGAATTAATCTCTTCAAGTCTTTAACTGCACTTGATATCTCTGTCTGAGCACATCCAGCTCACTGCATGTGAGGTAAGGTCCAGGAAAGACCCAGCAACCTAAATTTGCTTGAAAACCTTTTAAAACTGTCCAGCAATTTCAACACTTTCCTCTTTCCTCCCTCCATGCCCCCGTCCCTCCCAGCACTGTTTTAACACATGCATGAAAATCAGAAAAAAAGAAAATCATAAAAGCTCACCCCTACATTTCATCTGAATAAAATCCAGCTGGTGAATTGACTGCAGTAGAGGTTCACTATCCAGAGTCAAGTCAAACTCAGCAGACACTTTTGGCTCCAAGGCTCCTTTCACCCACTGCTCCTGAGATACCTGAACACGCTTGATTAAAGCATCCGAAATCTGAAAGAGAATATCAGGCTTATGATGAAATGGCAGATGCACACATTTAAAACAACAGAATGCCTGTGAGATACAGCACAAACAAAGCAGGAACAGGACAGCACAACAGCTGAGATGGGGTCTGGTTGCTTTGGGGTGAGGTCCACTTATACTTCATCCTTTTGTCTCACCTTTTCAACAAAAAAAATCTCATCTTAGAGTAGGAAAGTAAAAATTGGACTTACAAAGCCCGTTGAGAGTGTGTTAGGTATAATGCTTCTGAATGCCAGATACACTTCTGCACTCTGTTTTCTCATCTGCACAGTCTAGTTTTGCTCTCCCATTTAAAACGTAGTTGCACAAGGAGAAGCTTAAATGTAAGAGGGTCTCTCCATTAGCAGAGATAATTCAGTGGATGAAAGCAGAAAGGAATAAAAAAAGCAAATGGGAAGGGAGCTGTATATTTCTCACAGTGAGAGTCCTAACTTGTCAAATAGATTTTCCAAGAATGTGATGGATTTTCTATCATTGCATCAAAACGGAATTTAATTTTTAAAGCTTTGCTCCAGCTCAGCCCACTATTAGGCCAAAAGTCAGACTGAGATGACTGTAGCAGACTCTTCTGGAAGTGAAATCCTGGCTCTGCAGAAATCAATGAACTCAACTGTCCTTGAGTTCAGTGAAACTGTCATTTGAGTATCTGGAGCCTCTACCAGTGAGCTTCTCATGAGTTACAGGGAGCAGAATTTTCTTCTAGATAGGTCAGAAAGAGTCAACTCTTTATTGCAGTTGTTCAAATACCTTTCCTCATTACTGTTACTGGAAGACACTCCTGTCTGAGCTCCTGCTCCTAATCAATCTGTGCAGTAAGTGGAGGAGCATCTCATAGTCTTCCAACAACCCTGAAGACACCTACTGGGATGCTGGATCCCTTGGCTGTGTTTCAGTGTCCTGCCTGCAGGAGTACTTGCTCTAAGTAATGCGGTGCCTCAGCATTTGCTGGTTGTCTTGAAAACATCATTAGATATAACAAGAAAAGGTAAGAACACAATTCTTACAAAAGGTGACTGCAAAGAATGAAGCCACAAATTTTACAGGACAAGTAAGCTAACATTAAGCATGTTTCTACGAGCATGTAGATAACACCTAAAGGCTTAATTTGTCCAGTAGTATCCAACCAACTACCTGCTAAAATCTGTGTTGTCTTGAGATTAATATACACCACACATTCCTCACTCTTGCTTGAGACAAGACATGATGGTAACAATCAATCTCGAATGCTAATACTTGTAAATTGGTGAATTCTAATCCTGGTTTTTAGGGATGCTGTGACAGCCCCCTCACACTCAGGCATTCATGTGTGCAGAGCACCCTGTTCAGCTGACAGACACATGCAGATTATTTTGTTTGATGTGCCTTTCTTCTTAAGCAATGAGTAAGGTCACAAAACTAATAGGGCAAAATAAAATAATCACAGAATCATAGAATGAATGAAAATGAATCAAAATAATATGATTAATAATCAAAATAATAATCAAAATCAAAATAATGAATCAAAATAATAGAACTGGGCAAAATAATTAATTGGATAATAAAACTGTTCTTCTTTATCTCATCAATAGACACGTTCATCGTTTGCACATAAGAAACAATAACCTGGACATTAAGGCAATTGTTGGCTAGGCTGTATTTTGCAAAGAGGAGTACCTGGGTCCTCCAGCTACAAGACCCATCTTATAGCCCTGTGAGGTGAAACAACCCCAGTGAAGCGAAGCTACAAGCAAGCCCTTAAAGCTTGTGTTCCTCCCAGGTGAGATGTTGAAAGAACTCTTTCACATGGGAATGAGTAAAGCAAAGAAGCAAAGCAAAAAGGGGAAAAGTACAAACTCTGCTGAGTCATAGACCTTTACAAATTGATCAGAGAGCTCTGTGAGGTCCTGTGATGGGTTTCTCAGGTGAGAATTAAATCATATTCTGTAGAAAGTTATCATTAGCTGTGTAGCATCACTCTTGCATCCCAGAAGAAAAGGCTGGCAAAGATGTCAGCAGCCAGGGAAGTGGTGTGACCACTAACTCCAAACTGCAGCTGTTTGAAGGCAACCTTTCACTCAGACATACACCAGACTATCTGAGCTTTTAGAAAGTACTACCAGGAGTCAAGGTGAACCTGCCTCAGACATGGAAGAGGCTAATTATTAAAGCCATCCATTTTTAACTTAATTTAATTTTAATGTCTTGGGTTCTTCCCCACCCCCCCAAACATCAGAAATAAAAATACCTGCAAAAACCCAGAGGGATCATTTTCTTTGATAACTTCTAGGCAGTACTCCATAAGCCCTGTTGACTGGCGTAGCTTCAGTGTACAGTGATTTATCTGGTCCCAAACAACCTTGAAAACAAGCATCAGTTCAGTTCTGATGACTGCCTCAGCTTACAGTGAATTGTAAACGATTATTTCAGAAGAGACAACAAATGGAAGAGTGTGTTAAAGCTGTGCTTAATTTAGCTGCCATATGGCCACTGCCATATCTCCATCAGCTACACTCACTTGCTCTATATTGTAAATACCGATAATTAGCTTGGCAAAATGTGGTGCACAGGGAACCTCAATTTCCAGAGCAGATAATTGCTCAAAGGTCAGGCCTGCTAAGGGCAGAAAAAGCACAGAACATGTTTCTGCATCTGCAGTACTCACATTTACAATCACACTTTCATTACAATCTGAGAATTTAAAAATATCCTTGCCTTAAAAGGCAAATATTACAGAAGAAAACTGCAGGGGAGGTTTCTTGCAGATTATACTCTACCATTTTCTCCACAATTCACCATTGATCCTACTCTGCTTAAGAACACATTGCTAGGATTAAGAAAGAAAAGCACCCTATCTCATTTCTCCAGATTTTGGACTTGATTCTGCTGCCACATGGCTGTAGGCAATGCCTAATAGCACTGTGATAACACAACTCCTGAGGCACAACAGCCTAACAGGAATAAACTGCATGATTAGCTGTGCTGTTAGTAGTAAGTCCTAAATGCTGGTTCTTGTTAAGCAGAGGGGATTTTAAATGCTGATCTCAGGTAGATTTTATTCATTGTTTGCCATATTAGGTATTTCACTACAAATTTTCCTTCTGTCTTAATGTTACTCGCACTATAATACCCCAAAAATCACACCTGTAGTTCAACATTTCAAGAAATGTGCCTATTTAAACATTTCTCAACTGCCACTTTGTTCCACCATGTCTAGCTTTCTCTTCCCCACTCCCCTTTGCTGTGTTTCTTTAATATCTTTTGCATGGCACTTGGATATCTGGAGGTGGTTTGCCTGAATTTTGAAGGTTTGGAGAGACAACAAAATCCCAACATTTGACTTGGACAGAAGGTCCTGGAACCCAAACCACACACAGATTTATTTCACTGATAAGTACCTCTCAAAAGACAGCCCCAGACTATCAGATAAATAAAGACTGATGGCCTGATTCAACAAACTGCTGAAGAGTATGTCTCATTTTAAGCATATAAGCACAGTTCTACCAAACTGCTGAACTGGAACTTTCTGAAGGACTTTAGGACTTGGTCACTAGGAATTTTCATGGTGTAAAGGGCTGGGGACTTAAAAATGCACATTAACACCAGGTATCAACAGCTGTGCTCAGCTGATGAAGTTGTGCTCACCTTCAGCTTGTGCTCACGTTCTTTGGTCACCTTTGTGAGCAGTTTCGCTTTCTGTCGCGTTAACGCATCAACCAAGGCATCACACTGAGCGACAAGACAGGCTTCATAATCCAACCCATTCTCCTGGAAGATGGCAACAACACTCATAAAATAAAGCATATTTTACAGGTTACACTGTTGCTCATTCTTACCTGTTTTTCCATTCAGAAAGTATTTTCTTTCAAGACCTTGGCACTTCTGCTGCCCTTCTCATTTTATTACAGCTGTACCAGTAATAGCTGCATGCTATAAAATGAAACAGTAAGATGCTACACCACAAATAAGTTTATTTAAAACCTTCATTTACTGGCACTTTCTAGACAATAGATGTAGTATAATGCAATGTAAAAGCTAAACCTAACGTACACAGTGCATATATATACATAAGAGGATTCTGACCCATTCTGTTTTAATTATCCCACTGTAGCGACTTTGAAACCACTGGCTATACACCATGGTAATTAGAACAGAATTATGGACCAGAATCTGGTCTACAGGCTTATTACAAGGAAATTAATCAAGTACAAAGCTCTGAGATTTTGTGTATTGCTTTAAGTTTGCGGGTTTTTTTTATTTTTTTATAACTAGCACTTGGCAGTGGAGAAATGCACTTGATTAACTTGAAAAAAAAAATAATAAAAAATGACAGACAGTTTTTTATTCCCATCATGGTAAGAGTCCATGCCAGGCAGAGGCCAGCAACTGACTTATAAAACACTTGTCTCCACTAAACCCTGCACAGGGCCTGAGTATCACAAATTCCCGTCCTATCCATAGGGAACAATCCCCACTACAGCAGAATTCCACTGCAGCCAGAGAAATCTGAGCAGATGGTATTACAAGGTCCTGAGCTGCCCCTCCTCCTGGGGATGGCTTTCTCTGGCTGTGGAAGTGATGCTGTAGCACCCATTCAAAAGAAGGCTCTCCCTTGCTTGCTCTGCTCATGAGTCTAGAAGGAGAAAGTCATGCTACCAGCTTTCATCCCAAAAACCCAGTAAGACAAAAAGAAGATTAAATGTATGAGCTTTTAAACATGTGCTGAAGGAGAAGCATGTCTATGGAAAGTCCTCATATGCTCACTCATTATTATTTCTTAGCTCTTTGGTTGTGCTTTTCTCTTATTTTCTGCTCATTGCTTTTACTCCATTATTTTGAGAACAAAATTTTCAGCACTGTATTCCTCCCCCTGCCCTCCCATGTGACCCATGCATCCCATTCTCCAGATGAGGGGGGTCATCCTTCTCCAAGAGACCCCTGCCACAGTCCTAGACCTGTCAGCAAGATGGGTGGGAGGAGAGACACCAGACAGCTCAGTTCCTGTTTGCAGGTTTGCCTTGGACTCTTCCTGTTTGCATCTCTCCCTCCTCGGCTTCTGTCACACCCCACTCCCCCTTAAGCCCGTTTCCATCTAGCTACTCTTAAGTGCTGGTTTGTGTAAAGAGCCTGAATCAGTCAACGCCTGTAGTGCATCATTTCTCTCCTCATTTTCTGTTCACACATCAAACGGGGTTCTTGGCGATATGCCTCTTCCGAGTGAGAAAGGATTAAATTGTTACAGCAGATGGGAAAATGTGAAAATCAGCTAATGACAGCAACAAGGAAGCAACAAGGAACAGAAAATTTATAAAAAGCAGAGACCAAGAGATTTAAAAGTGACCTGAGAAAGGAGAAGGGAAGGAAAAAAAAGAGGAAAACTAGAGATCTGCAAAGCAGGGAAAATAAAAGTAGATTATGAATTTGCAGACTGCCCAAGGCAAGACAAAAAGCACAGCTCCTGGTAGCTCTGGCAAAACTCAGAGAGGAGGTAAAGAGTGCAGATGGTTGTGACTGCTTTGTTGTGCATTAAGACAGGATAATGCAATGTACATACTGCTCACTCCTTTGTGGAAACGTACATTTTAAAGACATTTTTGCTAAGGGGCATATGTGTGTATGTGTGAGTGGTAGCCATCATAAGACTTTTAATAACAATAACCTGTTCTGAGATACATGGTTCTGGGTACACATGAAGGCTATATCTGTTCCCACACAAATAACAGTCCAAGAACTGGGGTTTTTTTCTGCCAAAAGGCACAGATCAGCTTGTGAGCCCTTTCCCCTCAAATAGTTGTGGCTGTACCAAACCTGCCTACCACGGCTATTCCCTGGTATGTGCTACCACCAAATGCTGCTTGAGCATCACCTGGAAAAATGCAATTTGTCACAGGAGAAAATAATTCCAGACACCTCATTAAGGATTAATCTGTGTGGGTGATTGTCTGAGAGCTGAGCCCTAGCCCTGTTTTATTTAGAAATACATATGCAGCTGGTTAGTCCTGCTGTTTTGTGTTACTGAAATTTGATGTCCTCATTCAGACTCATGCTGGAGACTGGCTCAACATATGAGGCTCAGATTCAGCTTTGTGGCCAGACATGCCTAAATGTTAGAGGGTGACTGCTGGATACAATTTCTGCTTTTGAGCTCTCCTCTAGCATTTTAAGCCACGAGCACCATCAAAGAAATGGCTTGGTCTTTTGATCTAATTGTAGCAGCTCCCTAAAGCAGAGCAATTTGGTAGTGATTTCATTGAAACATATTAAAGGATTTTCAGCATAGTCATAAATAGTTGTAATAGGCCACCTTTAGGTTTCAGGAAGGAAAAATACATTTTTTCTGGAGCTAGATGACTCAAGAAAAGATTGGTGATAGATTATGGATTGGCCCCTCCTAAAATAGCTCTTCATACCTATAGGAAGAACTGCTCTCTAGAGTTGCCTGTCCTCCTTGGGCAATACAAGACTAAAGGACTAGGTTAGATGAGCTACATAACTTTTAGATAGGCAAAGTCAGCAGAGAGAAACCTCACACTGCGTATAAAACACAACATGTGACAGGTGCCAGTCACTGGCTTCACACTTGTTTCTTTCAGTTAGATATGCATTTATTTTTACCAGTTTCCCAGTCTTTTTTGTTCCCTTCATCAGGTGGCAATGGAAGACTGTGGGGGTGGGTAGCTATGCTGCCCTGTGGCAATTTGAGAGCTGGAGCAGCATTTGGGGTACAAATTCATCATCTGGAGCATTAACTGGAATCTTAATGATTGAATTCTAAACTAAATACAGATTTTCTAACTTCTGCTGTGGCTTTATGTTAGTAACAGGAACAAGCACTTGCTTGCTGATGAAAGATGAGCAAGCAGCAGAGCAGATAATGTATATCCCATAGAAAACCCACTGCCACAGAGTACCTCTGCTGTGGATAACAAGTGTTCTCTCCTGCACGCTGTGAAGCCCAAACTACTGCTGCACATTTCCAGCCATACTCTGCAGGGCGAGAAGGACCTTGAGGATTATCTGATCTCCAGCACTGACAAGTCTACACTTGCTTGAAAAGCGGAGTTGTTATGTTTGGGGTTTGTGCCCTCAATCACTGCACTCATTGTGAGCCCATTGCTGAATACTAATGCTGGGCAATTTTAAGTATGAAAGTATCTTCTGCTTCAGACGATGACACTGATTCAGCTGTGTTTGTTTCTCCTTTTTTTTTTTTTTCACTTCCTGCAAATACTCTAATAAACAGGTTGACTGGATTTTGTCCAGAAACAAGTACATTTTTAGAAAATGTAAGATGAAAAATAAGTAATAAATTTTGAATGTGTTAAAATGAGAACTTATCCTAAATGTCCAATTCAATCAACTGCAGTCAGGAAGGAGCTCAGAAGCATGACCAAGGGATCCAATCAATGCTAATCAACACAGCTCAGATGTCTGGAATTGAGTATCAGCTTCTTGCAATAAACAGCAAACAATGTAGACACTAAGAGGGGCTTTCAGGCATTATCTGAGGCATAATTTTGCCTAGCAAATCCATTCAAGAAAGGTTAGATGATTCCAGGAAAGTTAAGAATAGCACAGGGGATAAAGTCATCACATGAATAATTCACTCAGTTCTATTGATTACTGTATTATCAAAACAGCTAATATTCTACAGTTACCTGGATCTGCTGCAACAAATTTTTCAGCTGAACCAGAAATTCTTTAGCTTCCTTTGCTTTATCTGAAATGCCATTTAAAGCCTGAGATAGCTGAGCCTGTAAGAAGAAAAAAAAAAGGGGGAGGGAGGGGAAAGAAAAAATTAGACATAAAATGCAAATGTTTCATACTAATCCTTGGTTTTGATGATTAATAATGTGCTAAAAGGCTTACTTGCTGTTGTCTGCATTCTTACATGCACAGAGTGTTTGTGCAAGAAAATAATAGTTCAAATTTTAATTGTAATAAGATTTAATAAAGGTGAAACACATGTGGGGGCAGTATTGTGTCTGCACATTCCACTTACTGCAGTGACTTGGTAAGTCAAAATGTCTTCTTGTAAGACAGCTACCCACATATATAAGGAGATAATAGTCTTACACTTACACAGTAGCATCTGTTATGCTGAAAAATCCACAAGTGCTTTCCCCAAAGTGACACTTTTTTTTTTTCATCAAAGCCTGAATTCCTCACAAATGTGATGGATCCTACCAAACCTGAGATAGACTCGCACTTCAAAGACAAATCTGTATTTTCAGACTTCATAGAAATACCCCTTTGGGGTTCAGTTTCCCATGTTCCATCCAAACAAATGGGTTAATATTTCTGGAAAAACTGGGAAAAGCCCTTCCTCTGACTTTTGACTGGTGAGATGTACGGAATACATCTTTTGTTAGCCTACAATGAAGACCTAACCTCCCTTTTTCTCAGCTGTCTCCTGAGATCTCTAAACTGAACCAGAAGCTTCTTGATGGACTTCCAGGATGGGAAGAAACAGCAGTTCTGCCTCCAGAAGACCAAGAACCAGCATGGTCTGACCGGAGCAGCAGCAGTGCAGCTTCCATGGAAGCTCATCTATGATTACAGAAACCATATTGCTCTGTGTGTCACCCATGGCAAGCCCACCTCCAGCATTACCCCTCCTGGCAGCCATGATGCACAGTGACCAGAATGGTCCCACCATGAGTGTCCTGCAGGTCACACAGTCTCTTCATGAGTCTACCCCTCAGGCAGATGGAGTCACAACTACAACATTATCAATGCCCAGTTAATTATCCTCACAAAACAGACATGACAACTGACATCAAGAAATGAAAGATGAAGTATCTTTGCCAATGCCACGGTTTGAAAAGGTTGCTGTCTCTTGTTTCATTAGGACTAGAGTGTGCCTTGAGAGGCTTTGTATGTAGGAAGGCACAAAAGTTGGGTGTCTCTAAAAGGAGACCTGACTGAAATCAGTAAGTCACCACTCACTACCTGCTTCTCTCTCGCTCCTAAATGCAAGTAAATTACTCCATCCCCTAAAAGGACAGAATTCACTTCTTCAGGCTGCCAAAATTTTGAGCTTACCTCCTGCCTGAATGTCTCCTTCTCAACTTCCCCTTGTGTTTACTCATTCACGCAGGGTATTAATGAGCTTGTGGGCACTTCACAGCCCAACTCTGAGGCAGGCAACCTCCCGTAGGCGGAGGAACTGCCTAACCTCCTGTGGCTCTGAGGGAAGTGGGTACAAACCCTGACTGGGAGCTGGGACAGAATTATAGAGAAAGAAGAAAACCTACATTTTTTTTTCCTCCTATTCACACAAACATTTTACTTTTAGCCCAGTTGCAGATATTACATTAGTGCTAAATTTGAAGATAAAATATACTTTACCTCAACTTATCTGTAGCAAATGTAATGGGAAGACACATTACTGTGCATATTTCTCAATAGTTGAATATTTACAGTTCTTCACAAACTCTTTTTCTGCACAAAAATTTAAATTGATGATGTTTGATATGAAAACTACCTGAGGTGACAACAGAATGCTCCAGTTGCCCAAAAGGGTCCCTATTTTTGCTAGATCAGATAATCAGGACTTCAGATCAGCCCTCTGCAGGCTGATCATGCTTGACAGAGCTTAAAGCCCACCCTTTTTGACTGTACTTTCTGCTGCATCCACAAGGCACATCTGAGCCTTTCATTTGTCAAGCTGACACAGGACACAGTGGAAATGTCTGGGGAGGAAGCAAGAAAGAAAGAGGTGGCAAAAGCATAGTATGCTCTGCCATTGGCTGGTCCAATCAAATTGTCCCAGGGACTCAAGGGCTCCTTTCTTTCAAAACAAACCCAACAGTTGGTCCCAACAAAACTAAACCTTCCACTTTTCCAAAACCTGCCCTAGCTCTCAAATTACCTCAAAGTGCATTTCACCAGATAAGAAGAGACAAAAGCTGTATGTGGGCATCCCAGTACTTGTAGAAAACTGAATTACCACAGAGGAATTGTAACCAGCTTATGTACCAATGGCAATCAGCACCCTCAGTCGTGGCACCCAGCATGCTCCCCGTCAGAAAGAGGTGTAATAGAAACCAAGCAGTGTGCCCAGGTGGTCAAGAAAGCCAATGGCATCTTGGCCTGTATTAGAAATAGTGTGGCCAGCAGAAGTAGAGAGGTGGTTGTCTTCCTGTACTCAGCACTGGTGAGGCCACACCTGGAGTATTGCGTCCAGTTTTGGGCACCTCAATTCAAGAGAGATATTGAGGTGCTGGAGCGAGTACAGAGGAGGGCAATGAAGCTGGTGAAGGGCTTAGAGAATAAATCTTATGAGGAACGCTTGAAGGAGCTGGGAAAGTTTAGCCTGAGGAAGAGAAGGCTGAGGGGAGACTTCATCAGTCTCTACAACTACCTGAAAGGTCATTGTAGAGAGGTTGGTGCTGGTCTTTTCTCACACGGAATGGAGGGAACAAGACAGAACAAGAGCCTTCAAGCTGCAACAGGGGAGGTTTAGACTGGACATGAGGAAAAAAATTTTCACTGGACTCGGCTGGCCG